TCGTTGCCACCAGTCAGGGGAGCAAAGGGGAGCAGTCATGGTCCGGCCTTCAGCTTCACTGCTGCATAGGGGCGGTGGTGGGTGAGGGTTGCTACTATAGGTTGCCACCACACCTTGTGATTGCGCACAGAGTGCTATGGGTACAGTGTTCTGTCAAGGCTCCGCGAAGCTACCTGCGGTTCAGATTGCTATATGGCAGCAACCGGTCTAAAGAGAGGTACCCAGACTAAAAGAAGAAGCCAGGCTGTGCAGGGAGGGGATACTGCCAACTGCCCTTGGCTTTAGCAAAACGCTTCTACCGGCGGTACCATTGGCTACAGACAGTAGCCAATGGTTTGCGTTACTGAGGGCTAGAGGCGGCGAGTTGGCCCCGGAACGTGAGTTGCTACAGTAGGCGGAGGACAGGCGCCCTCTGCTGCGTTGGTCTGTGACCATCAAAATTGCGCTATGAATTACTATCTGCAGATTGCTCCGCTATCTACAGCGTTTGGGTTTCTGATACCGTAGCTGCCGCACTTACTGCCGACTGCAGTGTCGTTGCTGGAGCGGTCGTGCCAACTGTGCACGGCTGTTGTCTTTGTTGACTGTGCACAAAGGGCCGCTGTGGCTTGTTGCACAGCAGTGGTTGCTGAGCCCACTACAAATTGCTGCAACACTTAGATATGGCTGATGACTGAGGCTAGGCTGAACGGAAGGCTGCTTGGAGAGTGGGGCAACGCAGGAGGAGAAGTTACCGCTGCGAATCGGGGGTCTGTCAGGGAGTCTGATTCCGTCGGTTGACTTTGGGAACTGATGAAGCTCTCCTTTCGGCCATCATTGCGGGGCCCTCAGGCGATGAAGACTTCAAGGCCCTCTCATGCGAGTCTGAGTGCACACTTCTTGTACCTGAGAGACTTCATGTTTCTACTTCTGCCCTTTTCACTCTCTGTCTAGTCCATTGGTTCGGAGAGGAAGGCGGCAAGCAGGATTGCAACCCGTAATCCGCGCCAAGGCCTCTGTGGGAGGTTGCCCCACCGATTGCGGGAGCCCTTCCGGAACTCAGGAGTTCTGGAGGCAGGGAACTCAGAGATAACCTTTGCTTCTCCTTGTAAATCCAATATAACTCCTATCTACACTTTTCCCTATACATTGGTTGACTATGCTGAGTGCAACCCTCACTTTGGTTTTTGGATTGACTTTCATGACACAAATCAGACCAACTAAAGGAATGTTTGTATAATGGCAGTCTCAGTTTCTTGATTGTCTAAAAGCAGATTGTCACAAAGGGATGCTTCAGGGGGAAGGTTGGGAGGAAGGCGGTTTTGCTTGCGATTGAGTGAGTCTTATAGGGTCAGGCATTGTTTCTAAGATGAATGGCCTGACTGTTATGTTTTGTTCTGTTTTCTGAAGAACCAAGCATTGTTTCTAAGATGAATGGCTTGGTTGCTGTGTCTCTTTAATTATGTAAGGCATTGTTTCTAAGATGAATGGTCTGGCTACTTATTTCTGAGGGGTATTCTTTGCTTGATTTTTTAGGGTCATACATTGTTTCTAAGATGAATGGTCTGACCGCTGTTTACTTGGGTGGTTTCTGAACAGTCTCTGGGTCAGACCCAAGGTACTTTGCTTTTTTTATATATGTGCTGAGAAAGGGAGAGTTGAGCATTGTTTCTAAGACGAATGACTCATCTCTCCTTGGTTGTTTCATTCTGAGGGAAGATTCAGGCCAAAAGAGTAGATATTGTTTCTAAGACGAATGGTCTAAGTCTGAGGCCTTAGGATTATAATGAGAACAAATGAATATGATTCTCTATAATGTTATATATATATGTACCTATATGCAAACAAGGTTAGTCAGACATTGTTTCTAAGACGAATGGTCTGACTATAGTCTTATCACAAACGAAGAGAGTATAATCAAAAGTTATAACTGAAGGTAACCTGGGCAGGCTGGGCATTGTTTCTAAGATGAATGGCCCAGTCCTACGCCCTCTTTTTGAAGACTAAGGTGCAAAAAGATATATATAACTTGGCTATTTAAACAGTTCAGGGCGACTAAGCATGGTTTCTAAGATGAATGACTTAGTCATATGCCCAATGAAGAGAAAAGTAGTTGTGCAACCTGTTCATGTATAACTAAGGCAGAGGACTGGTATTGTTTCTTAGACGAATGACCAATCCCAATGCCCTATGTAAGCAGGGTGTAAAGAGTTAAATAATCGAAAGACTATGAACTAATGTCTGTCGAACCAACTTGGGGATGGTGAGAGTACTTACCTTTGTGGTTTGGCCTGCATGTGACTGAGTGGCAACACTACCTAGTTTGAGTTTGAGTTGATAGGTAGTTGCTGTAGTGGCTCACCACATGCTAAAGCTATAGGAGTTAGATTCAATTTCTGCATTGTCTGTGATAGCTTTTTCTACTTAGTTCGATTTCTGCATTTATCTGAGATCTTTTCTTATACTTGGGCTTGTATAAATCTTGGTAAGCTACTTTTCCTACGGGAAGAGCTGCCGAAATTTCTGCAAATCCAAGGAGTTAGACAAATCTCCGACTTTTCAAAAGTTCAACTGTCTGAATCATATATGGCTTAGTAAAAATCTGAGAAGTCCCCCCTTTCTAAAGGGGGTGCTGCCCAAAATTTTACTAATTCAGGGAGTTAGACAAAATTTGACTTTAGAAAGTCAAAGACTATTTATGTTTTTATATTCAGGCTTATATAAATCCTGGAAAGGCAGTTTTCCTACGGGAAGCGCTGCCGAAATTTCCTTAGTTTAGAGGAGTTAGATTATATTCTGACAGGCGGCAGAGTTGGCAGGCCACTCTTTATAGGGGAAACCCGACCAAAGGTCTACCTTTTCTTTGAGCCCGGACTTAGGACTAGACTCAGACCTAGTTGGCTATCAGGAGGTTAGATGGGACCACCATATAGAAGATAGTTCGAATAGGACTTACATGTTCAGTCTTGGGCATTGACCTGTCTTGTGTTACAGGCATGTTTGAACGATCTAATTCAGGACTCAGACTAGTTCAGCTTGATCCTATAAGGATCATCATCTGTTATCACAGATAACAGGTCGGTTGCCGATTCGTCAGTCCACGACTCAATTCCTACTCACTCCCCATACTCAACCTAAAAGGCTTTAGCCCTGGTGATCTTCTTGTTTGTTAAGGGTTTCACTCGGACTTTTATTGAATGGCCATTTAACAAAAGTACTGAGTATTTAATTATGGTTGGCAGGAGGTTGGGACTTGCATGGCTAAAGCAAGGAATATGAGTATGGAGGTTGGTTGGAGTTGACTCTGTGTAGTGTGTGGACTTTTATTGAATCTTTGATGTGATTGCAGGTATGATTGAGGTTCGGATTCTAGATGTGATTGCCTGCGATTACATTCACATATGGCTGAGAGGAGTCCCACTGTGATTGTGAGAAACGATCGTCCTATATAAATAAACCTTATGTTCATATTTACATGTACCTTGGGTATGTGCGCGACTTACTGTGATCGTGCGCAAGGGTTAACCAGGTTATGATTTGAGAGAAAAGGGAGATCCTCTTTTATCCTTTGCTTTTTAGAGATTTCTATAGTCGGACGTTGGTCCTGGGCCGGGATTCAAGGTCCTTGTCTAGGACATCCCAAACCCTAGACTCTGCAGGGAAGGAATCTGCCCCCGTGCAGAGCCTATTTGCCTTGCCTACCGAAACGCTSAGACCAAAGGCCGGAGGTCTCGCGGCGGCTGCACGACTATTCCTTCAGCCGTGCAATGTCATGAAGGATTATACCCTCACGACACTTCGAGTTTGACACTTGAGTGTCATGAGCGGTACTCGGATCCACGAGGGACCGGTTGATTATGGGCACTACATAGTACGCCATCATTGTGACTGCTTGCGTACGCTTGCATTGCGAGTCGATATGAGTTGACCCAGCGTCTGCGCGGTTTTATACTAAGTCTCGCGCGCGACGCTTATCCGATTTCCACATCGGAGAATTATGGAACAGCTGCGGAAGGGACTGGGAGCGTTAGCGCGTTGTTTGTGTTGTGTTGTTTTGTTTGTGTGTGTGTGTGTTCGTAAAGTGGAGTGCGCGTGGTGTGTGGGATGCGACCTAGTCGACCGACGACGAGCCGCACATGGGACTTCAACCCCCAGGATGTCGGTTCACGTGCGGGTCCGATAGGCGTGCTACCGCGCATACCCCCTATGCTACAGTGAACGAGAAACGCCCTCGGTTGGTCCACCTCTGCGATTGCAACTGATTAGCTTTCGTACTGTGGACTGGTATCTCGGCGGGGATACGCCCACCGAAGGGAGGTGACAGCTCCTGTAAGGTGGAGGTAAGTTGTGCCTCGCGTAGGCCCTATCCTGTCGTAGGGGCTCGTGAGAGGTATGGCTGGCGCACTCGACCGGAGCGGCCTAAGGGAGCTCCATTTGTGTGTCCGTGACGAGGTTGGTCCAACTCCTGCGTGACGCGATCGAGAAGGTCCCGCGCTGCCATGTGCGGTGCCGGGCCGATGCGCTCGACAGGTGGCGCCGTTGCCGGGGATAACGGAAGCCTACTGTTGTCCCTGGTGGAACGATTGTCCCTGGTGGAACGACGTCCGGGTACGAGTGAGAAATAAGCGTAAGAGAGTGACAAGTGTGATTGAAGTGTAAGGTAAGTGATGTGAGACTAAGTATAAAAAGGGGAAGTTAGCACCTGTATATGTGTATTTGGTTATCTGCCCGGTTCTAGCAAGAGCGTAAAGGGTGGCAATACTCATGTCAAGGGTGAGGTTGGGTAGGAGATGCGGGCTAGACCAGGTTGGAGTAGGATGCTAAGTAGGTGAGTGCCTTTGGTTTTCTCTTAACAGGAAATTGGAAAAAAAAGCCTACCAAGATGTCGGAGGGTGGCAGTATATCGGATGGCGCCGGAAGGGTCCTGACCATCGAGGACTTCATCGCTGCCCTAGATCGACATGAGAGGACCCCGAGTAATGTTCCGAAGGTTGAGACCTTCCACTTCGATGGGGAAAGGGTCTCAGACTAGCTAGACCTGGTGGAGCAGGCAATAGTGGGATTACCGGATGAGGTGAAATTCCAGCGTATTATGAGGTACGTGCTCCATAGGCACCATCAGGAGGTACAAAAGGTTGTGGATGCAGCCCATGGCAGTTGGGCAAGGTTTAGGGAGAGCATGCTGCGCAAGTATCGGTTGGGTGATGGGTTGCTCACCATCTCAGATCTTGAGGGAATGAACAAGGATGACTTAACCACGATAGGGGCCTTCGTACAGGAGTTTAAGAAGAAGGCAAGGAAAGTTCACGGGATCTCTGAGGAAAGGCAGTGCGCCATCTTTTTGGGACTGCTCACTGCGTCAGAGGCAGCCGAATTGACGAGTCATGGAGGAGGCAGCGCAAAACTTACCTGGGCCATCATCGACAGAGGAGTGGAGGATGAGAGTTTAGACCAGGTAGAGCAGCATCAGATGCACCTGCAAAGAAGGAAGAGGAAGGAGAGGGACGCTACTGCATCAGAGACCCCGGGAGTAAAGAGGATAGTCACTGATGTACTTGCGGCGTTGGGCGACGACCAGGATGCCGAGGCGCAAAAAAAGGTGGTAGCCGTGGTCCAAGGCCGGGGAAAGGAGGTGGGGGATTAGGGCGCCGGGCAGGAGGATTACAGCGGGGAGGAGACGGTATCGCAGATCCTTACCAAGGCCCAGCGAAAGCAACGCAATTTGTTGTCGGGAGGCCAAGGGTCTGGCAAAGGGCAGATCCCCCAGGCAGTTGCCGCATCGCCAGCAGCCGCCGTAATCGTGCCCATATCGGCAGGGCCGACACCAATGGGGCCGCCTCCGGCCTGCGGACAATGGGTACCGTACTGTCAGGCAGCGCCCTGGCCTAGCTGTAGTCATTGCACCTCGTGTGAAGGGGGCCAAGCCCATACTGGACAGATGGTTCCGTTTTCGGGTCCGTCAACGAGCGCAGGGCCGCCAAGTTTCCCGGTGACGCAAGGCCAATTCACGGCCCAACCTCCCCCTTCGCAGCAAGCATCGCAGGCTAGCGTGGCGGGTGGAGGAGGCCAAGGGCAAGGTGGACAGGGCAATGGGGGTCGGGGACAAGGAGGCCGAGGGGGTGGCGGACGAGGCCGAAATGGCGGAGGACGTGGCGGTGGATGGAATAGCCAAGGGGGCCAAGGCCAAGGTGACCAGGGCGGCCGGCAAGGGGGCAAAGGGTATGGGAGGCCCCACTTTGACTGGTGGAACGCTACCTGTTGGCATTGTGGCGTCGTAGGTCACACGATTCGGTTCTGCCAACAACGGCGGGACGACGAGCTCACAGGCCTGATCTCCTCCTGTATGGATGGGGACATATATGATAAGTGGGGGAAGCACATTGACCCCAAGACCCCAGGAGGGATCAGGCAGGAGGCCCTCAGGCGGGCGGCGGTGGGACCTCCAGCATCCCCGACCATGTTCAGGATGTGGCAGGAGAGAAAAGACCCGGCCATAAGAATAGAGGAGATTACGGGGGATAGTGAGGAGGTTACCCAACGACTAAAGGCCGGGGCCATAAAGGGAGAGCCGATAATTGTTGAGTCAGATGACGAGGCGAGAGAGGATGAAAGGGAGCCGGCCATAGCCACTCTGGAAAAGATGGAGGATTTGATAGAAAAAATGGTGAGGTACCAGCGGAGACAAAAGGAGCTATGTGATGAAGTTCAAGGGTGGAGAGCCCACCTCCCGAAGGTCTTCCTCTATGAGACCGGGCCGGGGACGGCAGCCGGACAGCAGAGTAGTCCCAGGGTTGCCGTGGCAGGGTCGGGCCGTAGGTCAGGGATGACGTTCAGGCTGCCCACCTCGCATGGGCGGGCGCCGCAAGCAACTCAAACTAGGAGCCAAAGTAAGGCGGGCCCTAGTTAGACGCCAAGTCAGGCACCTCCACGGAAGAGACCTGAGCCTGAGCATAGGAAGGAGGTGGTCGAAATCCAGGAAGAAGAGGAAGAGGATGATGACACGAAGGATGAGAGACTCCGTCAGGAGGAGGATCGTCAGGAGGAGGATCGTCAGACGGAACAAAGAGCTCAGAGAAGAGAGGCTCAGGAGAGAGTCGAGCCAGGTCCACAGGACAGGGTGCCCAGGAAGAGAAAGTACACCATCAGGTTGGAGGAAGACTTCGACGTGGAGAGGATGGTGGACCGGCTCCTTGAAGGTCATAATGACCTTATGAACTTAAAAGATATTCTGGCGTCCGCGCCTAGATTCCGGGAGGAATTGAAAGAGCGATTATCTCGAAGGCTAGTGCCCAACGTTCATCTAAGCGCAGTTCTGTCAAGGGAAGTGGGGTGGACACAAGCTGGGACAAGGTTGGAAAGGGAAGTGGGTACGGTTGTACACCTGGACCTGTTGTTTATGCCAACTGGGAAAAATGAGTGCAATTACATCTTCGATGCCCGGGATAACCTTACTGGGTTTGTGGACGGTCGGGCTATCCGGACGAAGACTGACCCAGTTTTGGCAAATTGCAACGAGGAGTATTACCTGCGCTATCCTTTCGTCAAGGAGTTCGTGATGGATCGAGGATCGGATTTTACCTGCAATGAGGTGCGAACCTTACTTGCAGGGTATGGGGTAGTGGCCAACTATACCACGGTCGCGCACCCTCAAGCAAACGCTCCTGTGGAGAGGGGGCACAGTACCATCACGAATCTCTTGGCTAAGTGGACAGAGGGCAAGCCTGGTCAGCGGCCGAAATTCCTGCGAGTGGCTTTCTTAATGGAGAATGTTACTGTGAAGAGGACTACCAAGTATGCGTCAGCCACGCTATGGTACGGGAGGCACACCACCTTTCCTATAGAAAGCTTTATGAAGACGTGGAGACGCCAGGACTTGGAAGTGAACCTGCCCTTCGAAGAACTGCTCGATATTCGGGCGCGGCAAGTGGGGGCGGCCGAGGAGAGATTACGAGAGGTCGCTGGTCAGGTAGAGAGAAGCCGCATGGAGGATAAGATGAGGTGGGACCAGATGGCGCGCGTAAGGAAGGAGCCGTTGGCAGTGGGGGACGTCGTGTTACTGTACGACTCCTCTCTGGAGAAGCAATGGTCGAGGAAGCTCGACAAGAGATGGATGGGCCCCTATAGAATTGTGCGATGCGGCGAATTTGGGGCATACCAGATCGAAGAGCTAAACGGGACGAAATGGAAGGATTGGGTATCCGGGACGAGACTAAAGAAGTTCGTGGTTAGGGAATAGGTAAAGCCGCGATCCCTCCCATGGTAAACCCTTGTCCTAAGTATTGCATGTCGTGATTGGAAACGAAGGAAGGCTGGATATGTTTGAGATTGAGTGTATATTTGCTCTAGAGACAGCTGAGCCCATATGCTGATCCTTTCGTGTGCCTGTTCGTTTCGTTTCGCCTGATGTGCAGGTCTGACTTTTTGAAGGCAGCCATGCAGAGGGGCGGGCGGGGCACGCGGCCACGACAGAGACCTCTCGGGGCATCCGGAGGGGAGGAGCGGCATGGGCCCTTCAAGAGAGAGCCTACACCCATGTTTGATGACAACAACATCGAGCTCTTCTTGGACGCCTACCGAGAGCATGCAGCCCAGAGAGGATGGGACGTGTCTGAGAGGGTACGTCACTTAAGGGGAATTGGGAGGTTCGAGGAGCCCATTGCGCAAATCAGAAAGGAGGCCCTGACTCGGTCGGAGGTAGAGGCGAGGATGCAGAGATTGAGAGCTTCGCCTTTGGGGAATGATGGGCTACCTATCCGCTTGGAGGAAGGAAACGTGGAGGAGTTCATCCCGGCATACGAACAGTATATGAGCGATCAGGGGGTTCCGAGGGATGAGTGGGTGCAGGCGCTACTCATTTGGACCAGAAGAGTGGAGCGTCCACTGGCGAGGCAGATCCGGGGTCGGGCACGAGACTGGGAGGATTGTTGGGCTCAGCTGAGGGAGGCGTTCCGGCGGCCGAAACCAGAGAGACCAGAACCCAGGGTTGATAGAAGACGGCAGAGCAAAAGGTTAAGGGATTTGGAGGCAAGAGAGCCGGTGGCATCGAGAGGCGGCCGAAAAGCCTTGGCACAGCGGGAAGGAGGGCAAGCAGGACTATCTAGGGCAGGGGAGTCCTTCCCTGCTTGTGGCCTCAGGCAGGTGGAGTTCCATCCAGTCATGGAGGGTGACCTACCAGGATCCTCGCCATAGGCACCAGAGCGGAGGGAGAGCGAGGTACCGACAGCGCCGTTCGGGAGCCTGGAAGCCCACCTGGACGCGTCCCAGTGGGAGGCCCCTTCAGCAGGAATGAGCCCTACGGATCCATCTGGAGGGGAGCGGACTCATCCTGAGCCCGAGGCAGAGCCACTCTGGTTGAAGGGGGTAGGGGCGGAAGATGTTATTGTGGTGGAAGGTGATACTCCTCCCGACTCCCCAGCTCGAGTTCAGGCGCGGCGGTCTTGGCCAGAGGGCGTCCCAAAGCCAGACAGCCAGGAGGCCCCAGTACCACCACCAGAAGCCGCTATGTCACCCAGGCAGGAGGATGAGGCACGGGGACCGGAAGAAGGGTGGAGAGCTGAGCCCCGCCTAGTCATTGATTCACATTTAGCCTTGCATGCAACTGAGCACCCTGACATTGAGGAGCCCAGCCTGGTTGGGCCATCATCGGGGCCAGCATGTACTGAGTCAGAGGAGGGCTCGCAAGTGGTAACTGGGGGAGTCGTGGAGGCAGGCACAGGAAATGAGCCAGACGAAGGCGCCCAGGCAAAGCGTGCCAAGGTACGAGCTCGCCTTGCGGAGATACACGAGCGAAGGGACAGGATGGAGGCTGCAGGAATAGCGCCAACGCCACCAGTCGACCCTAAAACGAGTGAGCATTGAATTGACGAGTTGTGGGCCAGATATGAGGGGCGGAGAGAGGCAGCTCGCCAGAGGGCACAAGAGACGGGCCAGACAACTGAGGGTGCAGACGAGGCAATAGAGATTGGGGAGCTGGGTTTTTCTGCCACTAGAAAGGCCATCGAGTGGGTGGACAAGGATATAAAGCAGACATCCATCACGGCCTTTCAAAGGTACTCGCTACTCAGTGATGAGCTGACCCTCAGGAAAGAGGAGGTGGAACAGCTGATTGCCCAACTCGCAGAGGAGCGGGCCGAGAACAAGGCTTGACAAGCTCGCCTGGAGGCAAAGGAGGCTGAGTGGGAGGGAAAGCTCAAGGAAATGGCGGCCGCAATGGAAAGACTTGTCGCTACCAAGGTGATCGACTGGACTGAGCAGAGCAGGTACGGCATCCAAGGCGAGGGGGTGCAGGAGCTGTTTGGCCAAGAGGAGGCAGCAGAGGCATTTCGGCAAGAGAAGTTGGGGAAGGTATTTCTGGACCCAACTGAGGCAGAGGGAAGAAAGGAAGCCAACAAGGGAAGCTTTGAGTTCAAGGCTCCCACTGAGCTGGCTTCGCAGCAGGAGGCCCCTACTTCGGCAGATACCCCTATGGAGGCGCTTACCCAAGAACCCCAACCTATACCAGTAGAAGAGGGGGCGGCTGAGGAGTCACTGGCGATCCTTCTGGATGTACAGGAGGGGACTCTCACTGGAGCGGTGGAGCCTCCGCAGCTTGAGGCGCAGGGGAAGAAGTCGTCACGTCTGGACGAGTTGGTAGCTGCTATGGAGGTGAATATGCCGCCGGAGGAGCCTCAGGAGCAGAGGACCCCGGAGCACGAGCCAGAGATGGGGGAATTGAGGGCACACCTGGGCTCGTGGGCCACTGGGACCGATTCGGGGGGACCAACTACTGATCAGCGGCAGCAGGAGGCCACGAGCCAGCCTACTAGAGCCGCTACTCCCCAGACTCCGAGGCCTCGCGAGAGTGAGGAAGCGGCTATGGCAGAGGAAACCCGCGAGGGCAGGCCACTGAGGTTGGATACCCCTGAGTACCAACCCGAGGGAGAGATGCAGCGAGGGGAGTCAAGTACCCAGGGAATCAAAGGAGGAGCTGAAGGACCATGGCACCTGCCCCAGAGTCATGAAGCGAGCAAGGAGAGGGAAGAGGCACCTCCGTCGTCAGGGACCCAGGAAAAGAAGAAGAGGTTTCAAAGAAAATCAGAGACCATGTGTTTCTACTTCTTGGATGGCATGCATAGGGCCCTGGAGTGTCCTAAGTTCCTCAAGGACAAGGTTGAGGGACGAGTCACTGAGCAGGATGGCAAGATGTATGATAGACAAGGCCGAGTGGTAGAGAGGGCTCCGGATGGGGGTCGAGCCCAGTTGTATAGGCAAAACCAGGAGGAGATGAGCGAGTAGGGACTGGTTTGCCTATACGCCAGTAGAGGTGAGGTGTTTTCTGTACATAGGAAGAGTGAGTCAGGGGTGCAGCGTATCATGGGTCAGATACACGTATCCTAGGGAGTCGTGTATGACTAAAGACCAATGTACAATAAGGTTTTGAGGTTCTGTTCGTGTTGTGATCCGAGGACTGAGACTCAGCTGTGTGATACTTAGGGCACCTAATTGTATTGCGTTTTGTTTTGAGATCAGAGTCTACCTATGGGTGGTGTGAGAGTTAGAGACACCTAGGTTATGAGCCCACCGGATATGAGGGGGAACATAACATTTGAGTATTAATGTTGGGGTTTTAGAGATATTCTATTGTTGGGTATATGCTGAGTGAGGTTTTGAGGCTACTTCCCTGTGTATGACGATCACTCTCACTCTCACATGTGTGGCTTTCCGATGTATGATGATTTGTGTGGGATCTGTGTGGCAAACAACTCATATGCTTATGCCTTGGGAGTGAATGTAAGCTGTCTACTCTCCAGTATACTCGTGCGACCTGCCCATGGGCGGATAATAGGGCCAAGTATAAGGAGAGGAAGCGCAATCTGTTCCGTGAAAGAAGTTGTGGAAATCCTAAAAGGATCTATGAGTCCTTGGAACTCGAAAGCTTATAATGCGAAATGTTTAAATATCTAAGTTGTGTTAGGGACCCACAAGTTGGTCCCTTGTGTTGTGTTGTTGTTATGATTGAATTGTACACTATGATTTATTTGGGAGACTTATCTTCAGAAAAGGAAGATGTTTTACAAAGGTCATGTGAGAGTTCATCCTAGAAAGAGAGGGATAGCTGACAGACCTATTGAGTGAGACCTCCCTCATAGGGAGGATGATTAATAGATCTAATGACATGAAAAGTTGGGTTGGTAAGATGAAAGACTGACGAATGGAACCAGGTTTTACCGGCCACTCGGTAAAATTTCTCGAGAATGTCGCAAAAATGTTTGATTTTGAGAGGTGTCGCTGAGATGTGTGACCCTCTTACCCTGATCAAGTTAGGGAGTCACGGCCGGGTGGGTCTGGCGGGGCTTTTGTTTGTAAATGTGGAGAGGTTGCCATAGTTCTCTGTGTTGTCCCACGGAAAACTGGTAAACACCTCCCATATGTGGCAGGCCTATGCGCAGTCCCGCAGTAGGCCTGTATTATTGGGACGCGAGAGATGGTTAATGGGAGCCTTATCTTCCATCGAACGTATAGCGAAATGACTGTTATATATGGTACACCGACACTAAAGTCACCATTTCATGGTTTTACACTTCGGTGTTTTACTTAGTTTATTTTGTACATGTTGAACATTATATCCCGATGCGCTTTCGGTGCTTCGTTACCGAAAACACACTCCAGGATTTCGGTGTTTTACTTAGTCTATTTTCTACTTCTACATTATTATATCCTGATGCTCTTTCGGTGCTTCGCTACCGAAAACGCACTCCGGGATTTCAGTGTTTTACTTAGTTTATTTTCTACATGTTGAATATTATATTCCGATGCGCTTTCGGTGCTTCGCTACCGAAAACGCACTTTGGGATTTCGGTGTTTTACTTAGTCTATTTTCTACTTCTACATTATTATATCCCGATGCGCTTTCGGTACTTCGCTACCAAAAACGCACTCCGGGATTTCGGTGTTTTACTTAGTCAATTCTCTCCATCTTGATCATTATATCCCGATGCGGTTTCGGTGCTTCGCTACCGAAAACACACTTCAGGATTTCGGTGTTTTACTTAGTCTATTTTCTACTTCTGCATTATTATATGATGATGCGGTTTCAGTGCTTCGCTACCGAAAACGCACTCCGGGATTTCGGTGTTTTACTTAGTCAATTCTCTTCATCTTGATCATTATATCCCGATGCGCTTTCAGTACTTCGGTACCGAAAACGCACTTCGGGATTTCGGTGTTTTACTTAGTCTATTTTCGACATGTTGACATTATATCCCGATGCGCTTTCGGTGCTTCGCTACGGAAAACGCACTCCGGGATTTCGGTGTTTTACTTAGTTAATTCTTTCTATCTTGATCATTATATCCTGATGCGCTTTCGGTGCTTCACTACCGAAAACACACTTCGGGATTTCGGTGTTTTACTTAGTCTATTTTCTACTTCTACATTATTATATCCCGATGCGCTTTCTGTATTTCGGTACCAAAAACGCACTTCGGGATTTCGGTGTTTTACTTAGTCTATTTTTGACATGTTGACATTATATCTCGATGCGCTTTCGGTGCTTCGCTACCGAAAACACACTTCGGGATTTCGGTGTTTTACTTATTTTATTCTCTTCATCTTGATCATTATATCCCGATGCGCTTTCGGTACTTCGGTACCGAAAACGCACTCCGGGATTTCGGTGTTTTACTTAGTCTATTTTCGACATGTTGACATTATATCCCGATGCGCTTTCGGTGCTTCGCTACCGAAAACGCACTCCAGGATTCCGGTGTTTTACTTACTCAATTCTCTCCATCTTGATCATTATATCCCGATGCGCTTTCGGTGCTTCGCTACCGAAAACACACTTCGAGATTTCGGTGTTTTACTTAGTCTATTTTCTACTTCTACATTATTATATCCCGATGCGTTTTCGGTGTTTCGGTACCGAAAATGCACTTCGGGATTTCGGTGTTNTGTTTTACTTAGTCTATTTTCTACTTCTACATTATTATATCCCGATGCGTTTTCGGTGTTTCGGTACCGAAAATGCACTTCGGGATTTCGGTGTTTTACTTGGGCTGTTTTCGACATGTTGAACATTATATCCCGATGCGCTTTCGATGCTTCGCTACCGAAAACAAACTTCAGGATTTCGCTGTTTTACTTAGTCTATTTTCTACTTCTACATTATTATATCCCGATGCG